GTGCATCCATTCGTTGTGCTCTCTCAAATGCTAATCTTCTGGATTCGACAGCACCTCTACCTTTGTCTTTCTAACCTTATCTCACTGAACTATACCTTTTGAATAATATCTTCAAACATTAGTCTTCTTCATTACCATTAATACCTCTACTATCACTGTGAGATTGATTTGACATTTGCGTCTCTGTACTAATATGGTATGGCAACATGAACTGATGTACTTACGTATGAAGTTCTTAAGTTGCATCTGTCTGACTGACTGAATGACGAGTATCAACTATCTTTATACATATTTTTCTCACTAAGATTTACAACTTTTGATTTAAAACAAACAAACAAACAAACGTATGTTATAGTTTGTCAAAAAAACCCAACTAATCTCATTTTTATCCTTTACAGGCATGCATTATGCAGTCTGATCGATCAACATTTTCGTAAATTAGCACAAAAATTTCCTACAGTGAAATTTTTACGTGGTGAAGCTAGTTTATGTATACCAAATTATCCATCAAGTAATTTACCATCAATATTGATTTATAAATCTGGTGATTTAAAACATCAATTAATTGGTCCTGATGCAGTTGGTGGAAATGCAGTCACTTTAAAAAGTAAATCATTCAATTAGTCAGCTCTAATTGTGTGTAAAAATATTCTGAGATTTGATGCATTATTCTTATTCCTTCTTGATAATATGCCAATCTATCATGTTATGAAACTATTTTTAATTTTGTACAATTTTTATTAATTGAATAGTTACAAATTCTTCTACACTTAAAGTATAAATTGCGCATATTATCTAAACCATTTCTTGACCGTAGCTGCTACCTTGACGTGGTGTTGGTCGGGTTTGCCTATCGTCATGACCCAACCGAGCTATACTGGTTGGAACATATGTTCCTGAAGGTTCTACCATGCCAAACAGGTCGATTGGAGAACGATGAGACTAAAAGCAGCTACTGAAGGTCTGAGTGCGAAGTGGTACTGCTGACTGATGGAGGGGTGTGACAGCAGTAAGGTGTTTCCCTCGTATAACCAGCATCTGCAGCAATGCTGTCTTCTCACAAGGAAGGAAGGGTTAGAAAAGGTCGACCGTAAAAATGTCACACCTCACCCTACCTCACGTATTTCCGTCTCCGGCGGTAAGGGTGCCGACTAAGGGCTTTTAAGAGCAGAGCTATTAGTCAAAAATCCTTTAATAAAAAGACCGTGCGTGACCGGCCACAATCAGTTGTCCCCTGGGCTCTACGATCACGCTCCCAGGTCTCCAAGACCAACACTAATCATCTTCTTTTTCAGGTCCCTCAAGAAACAACCTTCCACGGTGTGGGTAGCCGGGAAGTGACAACCGCCCTCATTCTCGTAACAGCACGCGAGACCGAATTGGCCGAAATCAAATCTAAACCATTTGTGGTCTACTGAAATTTTGAATTTTATCACTGATCGTTCACAATGACTCAATTGCAGAGTTATCTTTTTATATTCTTTTAGGCCTAAAGTTTCTGGATCACTTCATGAATCCTTTGTATTGTTCCACTCATCCATATTTCATTGTCAAACTCATATTTGTTACTACCTTTTGGGACCATCGAGTATGCAACGCTGTTGTCAGGAAGCAAGTACTATGTAGGGATTGCTACTCAATAGATTAAGTAGTTGAACTTCGTCAGTTGTTGCGTATGTCCAACCACCGACTGCCTCAACAAGCTATGTTTTGTGGTGTAAGGATAGGTTGGAAGAAAGCTGGGAGCGGCAAGACCAAAACATGACACAAATCTATGAAGCCTCTGACATGTGGTTGGAGACCCTTAACGACATGGCTCGAAATCGTTTGGAATGATGCAGGTGCACCCATTCTTTGAGTTCTAATTTTCTAAATTCTTCACGACCGTTTTTACTCTCTTTTATTCTAAAAAAATTGATTTCTCTGGGATATACTTCTCGAACCATATCTTCGATCCCTTATATTTTTGATTACTGTTAATTCTTCTACTAACTCTACTACTACGGGATTTGAATTGACGATTGCGTAAGGATTCGAACTGGTAATTTAATTTCACTTTGCTAATGAGGTGTGCCAACTTGAACCGATGTACACATGTGTCAGGTCCCATTTTTATGTATAGCTGAATGAATACAGAAGGCTCGACTGGCTTTTGCCAACCTGCGTCACTTATGGAGCACGCGAGATATCTGTTTCCTGACTAAAAGACGAGTGTACTGCGCAGTAGTTCGCTCCGTCCTACTTTATGGCTGTGAAACATGACCAATGAGAGTAGAAGATAATCGTAGGTTACTGGTTTTCGATCATAGGTGTCCTCGAAGGATTGCTCGTATATCATGGGACACCCGAATGAGCAACGCTGTTATTAGTAAACGGGTGATAGGTAAAGATGGCAGATCAATAGATGAAGTGGTGAAACTTCATCAGTTGAGGTGTTTGGGATATGTGTTACGTATGTCTAACCACCGACTGCCTCGACGAGGTTTGTTTTGTAGTGTAGAAATAGGTTGGACGAAATAATAATATTTAGGTCTTTATAGATATGTACTGGGTACTTTTTTCATAAATGTACTTCCGAATAAAAACTGTTTACGATGTAAAAGTTCTTGAACTGGACTGTGATGAGAGTAAGTAATGCAACTCAAGTGTCAAATTATACGTTGTATATGACTAAATGAATCTTATCACATATTTTTAAAAAATGCATACACCAACCATATCAAATACCAGATTATTACTACGTCTGTAATGAAAAGATGTAGACTTTTTCTTTGAATTGAGAAAAGATTATTCCGATTGAAAAGAGTGTCCAAGCAAATTGATGTGCTTTAATTCAAATCCTTTTTGCAATCTTTTCTGTATTGAATATTTACTTCGACAAGTATTCTATCGGCCAAAATATGTTTTTGTTGACTTGTTATTTCTGATGAACTTACCACCACCTTCCAATCAGTCCATCGATCAATAATATCACAGCACGTGTTAAGAAAAATAATCCACACATCTACATCACTGAAAGTCGATACTCCACATAACCTTGGTCTGTGTTACTAATCTGTTTAAATTTAGTGATTTCTATCTTTGAATCTTCTATGTACACTTTTGTATTACACAGTCATCCGTTCATTCATTCTTGTAAGTTAAAACTTACCGTTGACGCGTGTGTGTGTGTCGTTTTTCGTACGAAATTTTCTACTTATCTCATTGTTCAAATAATATTAATCCAATATTCACTTAATCAATCACCTTTTTCTTTTTATTTCCCTTCCCTTCATATTTTTGTGTTTTCCTTTACACAGAATTAGAATGGGATTTAGCGAAATTAGGTGTATTAGAATCGAAATTAACTAAAGATCCATCGAAAAGAATGCATATTAAATTGGCTCATAATAATAATCGGATTAAACATATGGCAGCTGGTGAATCGTCTGATGATGATGAGGAAGACGATGAAACTGACGATGATGATTGAAAAAACTTATGTGACCAGTCAAACAAGTGATAAGATTTCCGTGTTCAATGTTCCAACAATCATGATCTGGTCTAGTTGTTTTTTTTTTTTCAATTTGGCGCCAAAATACTATTTGCATGTGTGTATGTTATGATGATGTGCTTCCTTTTTTTTTTCTCTATATTATTCTTTCTTTTTTGATGTATCTTATTAGAATTTTGAATTTTCAATAAAATATGAACTGTATATTCATTCTGTCTTAAAAAATCCATTTGTTTATATTCAATCAGTGTAAAAATTATCTAATCAATCAATAGCAACGCAGAGCTTCGTCCGTACGTATGTACATCAGTTCATGTTGCTATACCACATTAGCACACAAATGTAATTGTCAATTTAGATCCCATAGTAGTGGAGGTAGTACAGGTATTAGCAATAATCGGAGAGGTTAAAACTAAAAGATATTAGTCAAGAAGTAGAATCTAGTCAAATGGATTTAAAAAAATAAAAATGAAGCGATGAAGAATTAAACAATTTAGGATTTGAGCGAACACAGAGAACAAATGCACCGACACCATGGCAAACGGTTTTGAGCCATGCCATTCAGGGTCTCCAACCATCGATTACTAACGTTTCGCGGAGCCCAACCAGGTAGTCGACACCTACCGACACGACTCAGTCAACCTGTCAGTAACTTCATGCATTTCCGACATGTTTTGGTCTGGCCGCCAACCTATTCCTACACTGCAAAATATAACTCGACGAGGCAATTGGTGTTTGCGCGTTTGTAATACATGTCCTAAACACCTCAACTGATGAAGTTGCACTATTTCATCTACTGATCGCCCGTCCCTACCTAGTACCCGTTTCCTAGTAACGGAGCTTGATGTTGTTTCTCAACAGTAAAATACTTTCTACTTACTCATGTTGTTGTGTAATATACACTTGATTCAAAATAACAGCTAACTATATAATTACCAAAACCTAAATGATATAAGTGCGCAAGATATTAGTAAAACAAATATGAATTTTCATTCATTTAAACTGACAATGATGATGTCAATAACCACACCTGACAAATTTAGTCAGGCCTGTGACTGTTAGTACACTTTCACTAATACTGATATTTGAGAACTGGAACAAAAGTAAATCTTCAGGTATAAGTATATCACTTAAAAACTAAGATCTGTATCGACAAGACAGGTTACAACAACGAGGTGGAGTATGCCCTATAGATGTCCACACTAGCATAGACTCAACCTTATGTGATATGTCGTAGCTAAACAACCTACAAGATTAGAGTCGATCGTTCTGAAAGCCTCATAGGCGGTTCCCTTACCGTTCGGCTAATTTTGCCATTGGCCTAACGCACCAACAGCTCACCTAGCAATACTTCCAGAAGTATTCATGTTTGCTTCATCCCTACCGTCCATAGACACTAACGACGAACTAACAAATATATTTTATCACAAAACCAGTAATGTCTTCAACAAATCGCACTCTTAGGACTCTGGAGACCAAACATTTCTAAGGTTACATATATATGTCACACCATATACGAAAACGTCCCCGAACACAAGCCACCAGATTTCATAACTCTGAAGCTTCTACTCATTAGTTAGGACGACAGAAATATTTAACGAGGCAGAGGTAATACGTACGACAAAGTCAATTACACATGAAAAACATGCTGACGAGCCGAATAATCAACCTTCCGCACTTATCAAAATACTACGAAGATAACCTAGGCGCTTTTTAACTTAAAGGAAGGAGCGTATTTATAACAACAATAATTTATTATCAAATAACAGTTTTACACGAGGCATGTCAATTTAGAAGCAAGATCAAAATATTAGAACAGCTAACACATTTTCTGTAGAAGGTAGATCAGTGACGTAAATATTCCACAAGATACATTGGCTTCATATAGATGGCTCACATTTTCCACATAAAATTATCGATAACGTTCCAGACCCTGCAATGTACAATACGACAGTTGGCGCGAGTTACGACTGTTGCCCTGCAACGAACCACGCTGCTAGATGGTAAGATGACAGATAGACAAATAATCTCGTTGTTGCCTAACAACAACATACTAGTTTCTTGAAACCGGTGATTGAGTTACAGATACGGACAGAAATTGGTAATCTGTTCCA